CCAATTGGCCCTCAGGCCGATAATTAGGGAAGAGGACATGAGCCAAGCTTGTTAGACTTTAACTCACTGATTTTATGCATTTAATGCAACTGGATCCTGCGCAGATGACATAGCTCTTGTTATACCTTGGATGTGGTTCCCAATGCTGCATTTCTTCTAATTGATTTCCGTAGTCTGGATAGCATCGTCATTTAATGCAACTGGATTCTATGCAGATGACTTAACTTTCGAGAAATCTTGGATGAGACTCCTGATGCTGAATTTTTTTAAATTGTTTTCTTAACATGGATACCATCATTTGAATGAAATCTAACCTACGAGTAATATTGTCTTAAAAATTACCTGATCCAAACAGCCTTTTTCTATCTGTTGTCCAAACTCATTTACAAATCTTATTGGCTTTCTGCAGAAAAAAATATCTCTATAGATGAAATTTATAAATAAGAAAAAGCGCCCAAATTTTTTGATACTTGAAGAACAATACTTTTTAAGTGTTTAACAAGCACCTAAATCTGCTGTTGTGCTTATATTGAATTTAACATTTTTCAAATTTTAAATCACTTCAATTTTTTAAAATATTAGTTGCAGTTCTTTTGAAAAATTGAAATACAAACATGTGCCTGCACCTATACGGCCTCAGTGTATGAAAATTTATATTCTAGGCTAATTATTTTAAAGAAAACTTTTTCTTTAATAAAGGTGTCATATTTTATAATTATATACAGGATAATTCGAAAGATTATAAATACACATTAAGGATTGGTCAGATATACAAATGAAAATTTTATTGAGAAACATATCGGTAGAAGAGTCATATATATATATACTTTAATGGTGCGGAAGGAATAAAAAAAAATAAAGAAATAAAAGTATCATTCACAAGAATTTTATTTTTTTTATTAAACAAAGAGTGCATTTACAGAAAAAATTAAAAAGAAATTCATGAAAATTCATCTTCAAATTCAAATTCAAAAAATTCATCGCCAAGAGTAGCAAACTTGCTAATTTAAAAGCTAACTTTGGTTATGTTACAAATTAAGAATTCCGAAAAATTAAAAAAATATATTGTATACTTTGATATTTTATACCCTCAAGGTTTATATTATTTACATAGATGCTTTTATACTGCTGATGATTTTATATTTGCTGTCTACTAATAGTATATTAAATTCAGTATGAATTTTTGATTGCGGCCACAGAATATAAATATTTTCACAAACTTTTAGAGAGAAAAATCATTTAACATAAAACATTTAGAGATGTGAATTGAAAAAAATAATTGTAGTCATAAAATCTTTTCAGAAGGGAATGACATTTCCATTTCTATCTAGGAATGACCCATGGTGTGTTTCGTTGAGTCGCTGCAGGGTTTCTATTATGGCCGAAATGCTTTCTGTGACTTCTAACATAGCTTGGCTGGTTCCCATGTCTGTCTTGACCCATCCAGGGCAAATGTTCACAATCAGAATGCCTTGGTCTTTTACAGTACGAGCTATCACTTGCATAGCCATGTTCAAAGCTGCCTGATTAAATAAATATATAATATATAAACAAATATATCACAAATATAATATAAACATAACACAATATTAAACATATATATATATATATATACGAGTAAGTTTGAAATCTATACATATACATAAATTTGAATGTAAGTACACATTTGGCAAGGAAACATGATCCTTTCTAACATATTTTTATTTGTTTTATAGACATCAGCCTATATATTTGTTATATGCTAATGCCTATCTGTCTGTCTGTCTAGATTTGAATATAAGTATACATGGTCCTAAAGAAACATAATCCTTTCGAACATAGTTTGATTTTTTTTATAGACATCAGCCTATATATTTGGATAGGACTCACAAGATTGATCAGAATGTCTTGGTCTTTTTCAGTACAAGCGCCATCACTGGCATAGTTATGTTCAAAGCTGCCTGATTAAATACATATGTAACATATAACAACCACACACACACACACACACACACACACACACACACACACACACACACATACGTATGCATAAATTTGAATATAAGTATACATGATCATAAAGAAACATGATACTTTCGAACATAGTTTAATCTGTTTTATAGACATCAGCCTTTATATTTGTTGATAAGACTGAAAATATTTATACCTATTAAATAAATGTTTGTAAAATTTAACAGTAGCTTAAAATTAATTCATTACCAATAGAATATAGATACTCAATCATAAGACTGTTTCAAAATATTTGTTCATTTACAGAACTGCATTATTTTGTAAGAAAATAAGAATTTTTAATATGATAAAACTTTCCAAAGATAGCTTGTTCCCGTTTATTATAGAAAATATATATTGAAATGTTAATGGTTAAACTAGTTTATATGATCGTTAAGTGGAAGATCTGAATTCAAATCTTCACCACAAGTTTCTAATTAAAATAATAGTTGCAAATTGATTACTTTTATGGTAGCATTTCCTGCATTTCATAGCAAACTATCTGGTAAATTATTTTCATGCTGTCTATGAAAAATATTTCTATATCATATTCTTAAAATCCAATCATTATGCATTGTATGAAAAATGATAGTGGAATAACTAAACTAAACTAATGAACTAAATGAACTAAAGAAATGATAGTTGGATAGAATTAATATTCTTGAAAGTGTGAGAAAATTAATAAATTTTTTAAGTGGTTTCATATTGAATAAAAGTACCAACTAATAGCATTCTTTAATGAAAATTTGCAAGGGATTTTCATGCAATATCAAGTATCACACGAGATTTTCAAAATTACCAACTAACAAATCATAAAGATCATTTTAAAACATCATAAAAATAATAAATTTAAAACATATAACAGTACAAAAGAGAAATAAAAAAAAAGATAAATAAATAAAACAACTGAAGTCTGCTCGGCAAATTTTCAATTTGTCATGTGTGAACATTCGAGAATGAATGAATAAACTCAGGAATATAACAATGTTTAATAATGCAAGAGATATATGAAGCAATTGATTGGCTAAAAGCTAAAAGATAGTAAATAAAGATAGAATAAAGCTCAATCGCTAAAAGAATATATCGTTTGAATATTCTAGGCATAAATGAAGAATGAAGTATTCCATATTTTACAAGAAGCACTATACAGCTCAATAGACATGGGCCAAAAGTGATAAATAGGAACCTTCAAAAAGAAGGAATTGATCAACGAACTACGAGTACTTATAGCCATTGGATATACAAATGTTTAAAATCCCAACCCAAAACATTAAAAGTGATTCAAAACTGTACTACAAAACACTTTATGCAAAAGTCAAATTCTTCAGAAAATTCATGAAGACTAACGTTATTGATGAATCGTTTTAAGAGTTAAGGGGCCCAAACTACCATTTTCACCCAAAATTTGCAATGGAGTTTTATTTGCTTGACCCTCAGTTTCGGATAATGTCACGGACCCTTAACCAGGACAACATCATGTTCAAACACGATAAAAAATCAAGAAAAATTAACGTATGAATTGAAAAATATATAAAAGGTCTTAAAAACAGGCATTCTATTAATAAATTAAAAAATTTTGGTGATCATTTGAGTTTTTGAAATTTTAGTTCTGTGCTTAAAAATTCTGTAAGATGTTTTGGTCTGGAACAGTTAAGATGTATGAAATTAATATTGTATATTCCACCTACATCGCAGTTGTGAGTATTAGTTGAACATAGATAAAATTTGTTTGCGCGGGAGTTGAAATATCCATGCTCACCCTACATTACGTAATGCTGAAATCAGTGATAAAAGCATTTGATATTTTATGTCCTACAAATGTCCTCTTTCTTGTTGAGAAATATGAATCGATAATTTCATATTTACTTTAGGATCAAAGTGTTATTTTTAGATAAGGTTCGAAACGGAGGACAGGAAGCAGAGTTCTTACAGTCATTGTATTGTGAGTAAAACAAATGATAAATGCGAATATATCGAGTCAGCCAGTATTCGAACCTGGAATCTCCTGATCCGTAGTCAGGCGCGTTATCCGTGGCGCCACTGGCCCACGGAGGTTTTATTGTCTTATGTACATTCATTCTACATGGGTTAAATTGCTCTTCATAAGTTAATAAAAGAAGTCAACTATTCGAATATAACTTTATAAGATGTCTGCTAATTATATACGTAGTCGGTAGGCTTCGAACCTACGCGGGATTCTCTCAATGGATATCTAGTCCATCGCCTTAACCAGTTGGCCACGACTACAAATGTCCACTTTCTTGTTGAGAAATATAAATCAATACTTTCATATTTAATTTATGATCAAAAGCGTTTTTTTTAGATAAGGTCCGAAAAGGAGGACTGGATGCAGAGTTCTTACAGTCATTGTATTGTGAGTAAAACAAAAGATAAATGCGAATATAACGAGCCAGCCAGGATTCGAACCTGGAATCTCCTGATCCGTAGTCAGGCGCGTTATCCGTTGCGCCACTGGCCCACGCAGGTTTGAATGTCTTATGTATATTCATTCTACATGGGTTGAATTGCTCTTCATAAGTTAAAAAAAGGAATCAACTATTCGATTTTAACTTAATAAGATTCCTGCTAATTTCTACAAATTTTATACGTAGTCGGTAAGATATGAACCTGCGCGGGAAGATCCCAGTGGATTTCTAGTCCATCGCCTTAACCACCCGGCCATGACTACAAATGTCCTCTTTCTTGTTGAGAAATATGAATCAATACTTTCATATTTACTTTATGAAGAAAAATGTTAATTTTAGATAAGGTGCGAAACGGAGGACTCGAAGCAGAGTTCTTACAGTCGTTGTATTGTGAGTAAAACCAAAGATAAATGCGAATATATCGAATAGTCCGTAGTCAGGCGTGTTATCCGTTGCGCCACTGGCCCAGGGAGATTTTAATGTCTTATGTACATTCTTTCTATATGGGTTAAATTGCTCTTCATAAGTTTAAAAATGGAATCAACTACTCGATTTTAACTTAATAAGATTTCTGCTAATTTTATACGTAGTCGGTAGGCGTCGAACCTACGCGGGGTTATCTCAATGGATATCTAGCCCATCGCCTTAACCACTCTGCCACGACTACAAATGTTCACTTTCCTGTTCAGAAATATAAATCAATACTTTCATATTTACTTTATGAAGAAAAATGTTAATTTTAGATAAGGTGCGAAACGGAGGACTCGAAGCAGATTTCTTACAGTCATTGTATTGTGAGTAAAACAAATGATAAATTCGAATATATCGAGCCAGCCAGGATTCGAACCTGGAATCTCCTGATATCGTAGTCAGGCGCTTTATCCGTTGCGCCACAGGCCCACGGAGGTTTTAATGTCTTATGTACATTCATTCTACATGGGTTAAATTGCTCTTCATAAGTTAAAAAAAGGAATCAACTATTCGATTTTAACCTAATAAGATTCCTGCTAATTCTACAAATTTTATACGTAGTCGGTAGGATTCGAAAATACGCGGGAGGATCGCAATGGATTTCTAGTCCATTGCCTTAATCACCCGGCCATGACTACAAACGTCCTTTTTTCTTGTTGAGAAATATAAATCGATACTTTCATATTTACTTTATGATAAAAAGTGTTATTTTTAGATAAGGTCCAAAACGGAGGACTGGAAGCAGTTCTTACAGTCATCGTATTGTGAGTAAAACAAAAGATAAATGCGAATATATCGAGCCAGCCAGGATTCGAACCTGGAATCTCCTGATGCGTAGTCAGGCGCGTTATCCGTTGCGCCACTGGCCCATAGAGGTTTTAATGTGTTATGTACATTCATTCTACATGGGTTAAATTGCTCTTCATAACTTAAAAAAACGAATCAACTATTCGACTTTAACTTAAGTTAAAATCGAATAGTTGCTTTCTCCGTGGGCCAGTGGCGCAACGGATAACGCGCCTGACTACGGATCAGGCGACTCCAGGTTCGAATCCTGGCTGGCTCGATATATTCGCATTTATCTTTTGTTTTACTCACAATACAATGACTGTAAGAACTCTGCTTCCAGTCCTCCGTTTCGGACCTTATCTAAAAATAACACTTTTAATCATAAAGTAAATATGAATGTATGGATTTATAATTCTCCACAAGAGAGTGGACATTTGTAATCGTGGCCGAGTGGTTAAGGCGATGGACTAAATATCTCTTGAGATAATCCCGCGTAGGTTCGAAACCTACCGACAACGTATAAAATTAGCAGAAATCTTATTAACTTAAAATCGAATAGTTGATTCAGTTTTTTAACTTATGAAGAGCAATTTAACCCATATAGAAAGAATGTACATAAGACATTAGAACCTCCCTGGGCCAGTGGCGCAATGAATAACGCGCCTGACTACTGATCAGGAGATTCCTGATTCGAATCCTGGCTAGCTGGATATATGCGCATTTATCTTTTGTTTTACTCACAATACAACGACTGTAAGAACTCTACTTCCAGTCCTCCGTTTCGGACATTATCTAAAAATAACACTTTTGATCATGAAGTAAATATGAAAGTATTGATTTATATTTCTCAACAAGAAAGTGGACATTTGTAGCGGTGGCCGAGTGGTTAAATCGATGGACTAGAAATCCATTGGGATCTTCCCGCGTAGGTTCGAATCCTACCGACTACGTATAAAATTAGCAGGAATCTTATTAAGTTAAAATCGAATAATTGATTTCTTTTTTTAACTTATGAAGAACAATTTCACCCATGTAGAATGAATGTACATAAGACATTAAAACCTCCGTGGCCAGTGGCGCAGCGGATAACGCGCCTGACTACGGATCAGGAGATTCCAGGTTCGAATCCTGGCTGGCTCGAGATATTCGCAGTTATCTCTTTTTTACTTACAATACAATGACTGTAAGAACTCTGCTTCCAGTTCTCCAATCGGACCTTATCTAAAAATAGCACTTTTGAACATAAAGTAAATATGAAAGTATTGATTTATATTTCTCAACAAGAAAGTGAACATTTGCAGTCGTGGCCGAGCGGTTAAGGCGATGGATTAGATATCCATTGAGATAATCTCGCGTAGGTTCGAATCCTACCGAATAAGTATAAAATTAGCAGAAATCTATTTAAGTTAAAGTCGAATAGTTGATTCCTATTGTTGACTTATGAAGAGCGATTTAACCCATGTAGAATGAATGTACATAAGACATTAAAACCTCCGTGGGCCATTGGCGCAACGGATAACGCGCCTGACTACGGATCAGGAGATTCCAGGTTCGAATCCTGGCTGCCTCGATATATTCGCGTTTATCTTTTGTTTTACTCACAATACAATTACTGTAGGAACTCTGCTTCCAGTCATCCGTTTCGGACCTTATCTAAAATAACGCGTTTGTTCATAAAATTAATATCAATGTATTGATTTATATTTCTCCTCAAGAAAGTGGACATTTGTAGTCGTGGCCGAGTGGTTAAGGCGATGGACTAGAAATCCATTGGGATCTTCCCGCGTAGGTTCGAATCATACCGACTACGTATAAAATTTGTAGAATTAGCAGGGATGTTATTAAGTTAAAATCGAATAGTTTATTTCTTTTTTTTTTACTTTTGAAGAGCAATTTAACCCATGTAGAATGAATGTACATAAGACATTAAAGCCTCCGTGGGCCAGTTGCGCAACGGATAACGCGCCTGACTACGGATCAGGAGATTCCAGGTTCGAATCCTGGCAGGCTGGATATATTCGCATTTATCATTTGTTTTACTCACAATACAATGACTGTAAGAACTCTGCTTCCAGTCCTCCGTTTCGGACCTTATCTATAAATAACAATTTTGGTCATAAATTAAATATGAAAGTATCGATTTATATTTCTCAACAAGAAAGTGGACATTTGCAGTCGTGGCCAAGTGGTTAAGGCGATGGACTAGATATTCATAGAGATAATCTCGCGTAGGTTCTTATCCTACCGAATACGTATAAAATTAGCAGAAATCTAATTAAGTTAAAATCGAATAGTTGATTCCTTTTGTTGACTTATGAAGAGCAATTTAACCCATGTAGAATGAATGTACATAAGACATTAAAACCTCCGTGGGCCAGTGGCGCAACGGATAACGCGCCTGACTACGGATCAGGAGATTCCAGGTTCGAATCCTGGCTATCTCGATATATTCGCGTTTATCTTTTGTTTTACTCACAATACAATTACTGTAGGAACTCTGCTTCCAGTCATCCGTTTCGGACCTTATCTAAAATAACGAGTTTGTTCATAAAATTAATATCAAAGTATTGATTTATATTTCTCCACAAGAAAGTGGACATTTGTAGTCGTTTCCGAGTGGTTAAGGCGATGGACTAGAAATCCATTGGGATCTTCTCGCTTAGGTTCGAATCCTACCGACTACGTATGAA